GGCCTCCCTGGACGACCTTATTTATAGACCATTTTCCGATCCATTTTCTTCTACTTGATCTTTCCATCGGATTCGTGGCCTTCACCTTCTGTGTGAACCATCACTTGGCACGCTTTTATATGCCTTTTGAGCTAGGGCATTTTCATCCGTTCTCGCAAGATGGCCTAGCCAACGTAGTCGCTGCAGCTCGATCCGTCATTGTTCATTCGACGGTGATATTCACCGTATTCAACGCAAATCGGCCCATAGATCTTCCGGAGAAATTTTTTCTCAAAATCTCCAAGATCTGCCTCATCTGCTTGCCCAAGTACCCATGCTTCACATCCATACAACAGCGCGGGTAATATCAATGTCAGTTTGGTCTGGCGGGAGGTGGCATTGCTTTTGAGTTGCTTACTCAGACCATAGTAGCATCTGTTGGGCAACACTATTCTCCTCCGGATTTCAAAGCTGATGTTATTAGTTTTGTTTATGGCGGTACCGAGTAATGTAAAATCGTTCACTACCTCGAAGCTGTAGTTCTCAAGTTCCACAGTTGATCCGAGTCTACTGGACGTCTTGCGCGTTGATACCATCAGCTTGGTCTTCTGGCCGTTTACTGCCAGACACACTTTGACAGACTTCTTCTCAATTTATTCAAAAGTGGCTGTTACCGCTCTCAAAGACCTTTTCCAGCAGGATGTTAAAAAGGTCACACGGCAAACTGTCACCTTGTCGGAATCTTCGTTCGGTATTGAAAGAATCCGATAGGTCCTTTCCGACTTTAACTGCTAACCTTGTCCTGCATAGCCGTATTAATTTTGCAATAATGCCAAACGCAGACATGGCTTTAAAAACCTCTGAATGGATAGGGTTGTCGAATATGGCGTTATCGTCGACGAATAGGTGGAATGTGTCGATGTGTTTTACGTGGGTCTTTTGCAGGATATGGCGCAGAGTGAAAATCTGTTCTATTGTTGATTTGTCAGGTCTGAAGCCGCATTTAAATGGTCCAATATTGTCATTGGCTTCAGTCGTTCACACAGCACACTGGATAGCACATTATATGCGATGCGAGCATAGCTGGTGTATGCTCCTGACCAACATCTGACCACCAATCTTGAATAATTCAGCTGATAACCCATCGGCTCCTACTATTTTATTGTTCTTCAGCATATTAATTGATATTCTGGTACACACTCTATACCGTCATCTCTTATTGATTCTGGGGTATCTTCTTCACCGCCATTATTTGATACCAGAAGCTTTTCAAAATACTCCTTCCAGATCCTCAACATTCTGCCTGTAACTATCACCAGGTTTCCTTCTTTATCTGTACTGAAGGATGTGCCTGCACCAAATCCTTCGGTTTGGCATTTTACTCGTTGGAAGAATTTCAGGACTTCATTCTGACTCCTGTACATCTCGATTTGCTTCCGCTCATGTTTTTATTTTTGTTTCTTCTTTTTCCTGAAAATACGTTTTTCCTCTTTCCTTTTCTCCCGATAATTTTCCATCACATTACGTGTTGCTACTGTCTGGAGTGTTGCCCTATACGTTGCGTTTTTCGCCTCAGTAGCATTACGACACTCCTGGTCGTACTATCAAGAGATGGTGGTTTTTGGCTAAGTGTTGCTTTTGCTGCAGTTTGTAGGCAGTGGGCAATTCTTTGCCATGATGCTTCTATACCATTATCGTGACAAGAAGTGCTTTCGTTAAGCAGGTGGGAAAGTTGAGTGGAGTAGGCTTCTGATACCTATTGTGTTTGCAGCTTTTCGACGTCGAATTTCCGTGTTGTGTTAGATCGCACCTTTGCTGCTGCATTCAGACGAGTGGGAACCTTGGCTGCTTAAAGTTAGTGGCCCGAATCGATATTTCTCCTTTCAGGAGAAATCCAAATGGCCATGTGTATATCGAGATGCTTGAATCTGGATCTGCTTACTACCATGTTTTTGCTGCCACGAAGTCAATCAACCTCATGCCGTTGTCAGATGTTTCTTCATGGAGGAAGAATTTTCTGTCGGCGGGGCCAAAAATATTTTCCCTTCCGATTTTTGCATTAAAATCACCTAGCAGAATTTTAATGTCATGACAGGGCAGCGGTCATATGCTCTTTCTAGGCGCTCGTAAAATATGTCTTTGGTCTGCTCATCTTTGTCTTCGGTGGGCGCAAAAGATTATAGCAATTCGCTCATCTACTAGAGTGAATATGGAGACGAGGTCTTTTATTCTTCAGTTAACCATAAATCCGCAAATAAATATTACGCACTTTGACAGTTAAATGAATAGTCAGCTGTGCTAAATGAACTACCTATTTATTGTGCCACGAATGCAGCATAAAGAGGCATTCATGAAATCCTCGAATGTGTCTCTCCTTTTCATTCAGAATTTTTCTCACTTTATGTGAAATAGTGTTGAGAAGTGTAAAGGGAGAAAAATCACGAGGATTTTACGTTCAAAATATGCCTGATATGCGGATGGTAGATCAAACTTATATCTTATTATTATTGCACCATAATAGAATTTTTTTAATTTAATTGCTTAATTATAGTACGTTTATTTTAACCGGATTTCGTTAACCCAGTGGATTTCAATTGTCAATTCCTTTGCATATATGTCAAATAAATCCTCATAAAGTAGGTTAATCCGGTAAAAAGTTCTAATGTATTTGTCATTTTACTAAAGTCTTTTAAATTTATAAAGGGAAAATCGAAACCAATTCTAATTAATTGGAGATTGTCTAATTCCATTTGTTCTTTAGAACTTAATTGATGGACCTCTATTACACCTTAATATATCTTTCAATGCAACAGAATATCAAAAAGTATTATTTAAAATCCGAAAAAGGAAAAACAAAATTAAAAAAAAAAAACAATGTTAGAGTGTAATTTTTAAAAATTAAAAATAAAAACTACACAAATGTTATCATTTTTTTATAATCTAAGATCATCTATAATTTTATATGAAAACCAAAAACAAAACAAAAATGAAGAAACAAATACCAGGTATCCAAAATAAGAAAATCCCCTATTATTAACTATTTATCAGAACTAGAATTGTAAGCAACAACAACAAAAAACTATTGTAAATTATTTATTGGACAAAATATGAAAAGAGTAACAAAAAATAAATAATAAAATTATAAAAAAATAAGATTAAAAGTGAAATAAAGATTTTTGAGAATAAGAAAATTCTTAAATAAATGTATAAAAAAACAAAAGCCATTTAAATATTTAAAAAAATGCATTTTAACTTTTTATTTGATTTTCCACGTGTCATTCGGTCCAAGTTTTACTTATTTCAAAGTAATAGTATGTTCACATTATGCCGGATTTATTTTGATCCTGTTGATCAAATTGTCAATTCCATTACATGTATGTCAGATAAAACCTCATATAGAAGGTTAATAGTACGTTCACACTGTAATGGATTTTATTAACGCAGTGGGTTTAAATTGTCAAAAAGACGCATCCTTAAAAAAATTACGGAGGCGTCTTTTTTGAACACCTGTTTGCATATGAAGGTGTTGCCAGATCGAAACAATTTAACATGTGTTCATAATAGAGATGAAAGTTTCCAAACCAATTAACATTTTATACCCTCCACCATAGTATGGAGGGTATATTAATTTTGGCATTCCGTTTGTAACTCATCGAAATATTCATTTCCTACCCTATAATGTATATATATTCTTGATCAGGGTAAAATTCTAAGACGATCTAGCCATGTCCGCCTGTCCGGCCGTGTTTTAATCATGCAATCTTCTGAAGGAATTGAGATAGGGTGCTGAAATTCTGCACAGGTTTGTCTTTTGTCTGCATGAAGGTCACGTTCGAAGATGGGATATATCGGACCACGTTTAGGCATAGCTCCCATATAAAGGTACACCCCAATTTTCGGTATTTTGCGGTTCTTGAGCTCGTTTTTCAATCGAATACGCTGAAATTTGGTATTGGGTACCAAATGTCTCCACAAAAATTTATGAATATAAGGCGACTTTTTCTGGTAGCCCCCATATAACGGTACCTCCTAATTTTCAGTATTTTGGGAGATTTGATCGTATTTTTCCACCGAATTGGCTGTAATTTAGTATTTTGATTTCTTAACAGGTACCAAATCTCTCCACAAAAAATTATGAATATATGTATTTTTTTTTTCGGATTGTCCCCATATAAGGGTACCCCCAATTTTCGGTGTTTTGGGGTTCTTGAGCGCGTTTTTCTACCGAATTGGCTGAAATTTGGTATTTTGTAGTAATAAATCTCCCCACCAAAAATTATTAATACTCGCCCCTTTTTTGGGGTAGTCCACATATAACCCCCTTTTTTATATTAAAATTGTTATCTAATTTGTTCCGCGTTTTGGGTTTGGTTCTGTGGACCCCATCTTCGAACTTGAACTAAGTTTGGAAGAGATAATAAGATGGGGTCTAGAACCAATATTTCCATGAGGTACATTTTCAAAGTGTATACACCCTCATCAGCCATAATAGTACGTTTACATTGTACCAGATTTAGTTAACCCAATGGGTTTCAATTGTCAATTCCATTGCCTATTTGTCAAATAAATCCTCATAAAGTAGGTTAACCCTGCAAAAAGTTCCATCGTTTTCATTAAAAATTTCTGAAATTTGTATTATACCTATGTTGGTATAGGTCCTCTTTTTGATATTTTCCCTACATATTTTCATTCCAAGTACCTGTCAGTATATCTATGGTGGAGGGTATCCAAAGTTCGGCCCGGCCGAACTTAACGTTTTTTCACTTGTTTCAGTTTATACCGCGCTTTTTGTTCTAGGCTAAGAACATTCCGAACTGCCCTCGTATTCTATTAATCGAAATTATTTTCCATGTTCCATGTTTTTATGTATGGGGACAGATTAAGAATACGACACCACTACAGTTTGCATTTTTCGATTTCCAGGCCCAATTATTTATAAATAAAAATTAATTTGATTTTTAATATCTTTTTTTATTATTCATTTAATTGTAAAATTTAGAAAAAAGTACTGGAAGTTCATTTCAATTATTAATCCTGGGTTCACCAACAATTTCCACAACATCTTCACCCTTGTCGACACCATAATGCAGCTCCTCACCGCGTTGATAGGCCCATGACATACGTCTCGATGTAAAATATATGCCCAAATTACCCTTAGGATCAATGCTAATAATTCCAGCAGTTTGATTAAATCGTTCCGTCATTTGTTCCAGCACAAGGGCGGTGGCATCCTGCGCCGTCATACCAAAATGTTCAATTAAACCCAAAATTCTCGATGCCACATTATAGCGCATAATAGTTTCACCTTTACCGGTGGCTGACACACAACCGGCATTGTTATCGGCATAGGTACCACCACCCAAAATAGGCGTATCACCAATACGGCCAGGCATTTTTCCAGTTATACCACCGGTGGATGTGGCTGCTGCCACATTGCCATAGGCGTCAATGGCGACAGCGCCCACAGTACCTGGGGAACCGAATATCTTATCACCAATTTCAGGCTCTTCATCCCAGTCCACCATTGGCTTGGTTCCATTCAAACTATTCTTGTAATTTTCCAAAGCCAATTTAGAATTTTCCGTTACCAATGAACCGTCGGGTAATATTTGAAACCCAGCTTCGCGTGCATACGCCATGGCACCTTCACCGGCCAAAAATTTATGCCGTGTATTTTCCATTACACTGCGTGCCAATGAAATCGGATGTAAAATATTTTCAATAATTGATACACAACCAGCATCTAAGGTAGCACCATCCATAATGGCAGCATCCATTTCGACTTTACCCTCCCAGGTGAGGACACCACCATAGCCGGCATTAAATTGTGCATTTTTTTCCATAGACTTAACAGCTTCTTGAACGGCATCGACTACACTTCCGGTCTTTTTCAGCGTTGCATAACCAATGCGGGCAGCTACCTTGACACCATCTTTTTTATATGGGATCGTAGCATCCGATACATCTCCAGCACCACCATGGACCAATACGGTGGGAATTATCTGTTGGGACTGTGAATGAGAAGGAAAAGTGTAGGAGGTTATTATATAAATGTTATATTTGGAAGGACCAGCAGATGTGTTCGACAATTAAAAACCCACATAAATGACATTTGAAATTAGTAACCCTTTCAGGGATCTGCATTATTATGATAGCTTCCAGTAGCAGTATCTTCTAAAACTTTTGGTATATAATACTAAATTTCTCTTACAAATATTACCTAGCTAGAAGTCTTTCCAGTAATCTTTCCACATATGTAATTTCATTTAAGAGCTCGTTTAGACTACTAAATCCATTCGATTTCAAATGTCAATTTCATAGCGTGTACGTCATGTTAATCATGTTATATATAATGCCTTTATATAATTTTAATATTAAGGGGGAAACACATAAGAGGACTTCTGGCATGGCTTATTTTATTGTAAAAGAGTAAAGGGCTAAACAGAATGTTCGCGTTTGTTATCGCGTTAACGCACGCAAAAAGTTAAAATATATTTAACTCCGAAGCGCAGCGCACATCAACTTCGACCGTTTGTGTTATCGTTTCCTTGTGGTTGTTGTATTTTCGATAACACATAACGCAACGGATGGCTCAACGCGAGCATTCTGCTTAGCTCTTAAAGGATTTTTTCCACTTCTGTCATATTATGTTAGATAGCTATTTTGAAATGGAATGGAAATGGCGTCCAAAATCAAGTTTGTCATCTTTATAAATTGACATTTCATACAATGCCAACTTAACAGGCCAGGACTGAATCCTGGTATGTGTTTCCCCCTTTTGTCAAAATGTGCGTGTAAACAGTTAGGGTGTATTTTAATATTTCATTAATCGAGTCGATTTAAAATTGTATATATAAATGTACTTTAAATCTGCATTTACTAGCGAATTATTTTAAATCGTGATCTTGGTCACATTGCTATTGAAATGCAACACTGTTTTTGTACGAAAAAATACATCTTTCGGCAGGGAATACCAAAAAAATTGTGTTAATAATTACTAAGTAATAAAACGGAATTTACATTAGAACTTTTTACTGGATTGGCATTGACAATTTAAACCAACTGGGATAACGAAACCCTGTACAATGTAAACATACTATAAATTAAAAAAAATTAAATGAAACATGTGTATCCCCGTTTTGTTGTTTAAATTAAATTTAATTAATTCAATTATGTATGTGTTCTCGTATGTCAATAACACCAGCTGACAGACATTCACATACCTACAGTTCCCGTACTGCAATAATCTACACGATTTTACTATTTTCTTCGATATCATAAAAGAAAAAAATGTTATCGGAGTAAAAAATAGTAGATTCTTGCAGTACGGGAACATGCCAATAATCTCAAGTCTTGTCTAAACGGTTGGGGAGTATTTCAGGATTTCGTTAATGAAGTCGATTTATAATCCTGTATGTAAATGAACGTTAAGGATATACATCAGGATTTCCTATTGTCTGATTACCTATTGTTTCGTGAAATCTACTCGATTTCGAATATCAATTCCATAACGTATAGGTCAAAATAAAATCTACTGAAGTTATATGCAGGATGTATTTGACGTATATGATGTGGAATTAAAACAATTATCCATCCTACCTTATAAATATTAGGTTGGGGAAAAATAAATCCATTATTTTTATATGACTATAGGGTGTTCTTTACATGCTTCGGAATGCCCGATTTGGGTTAAATATGCGCCGTTTTGTTTTCAACAAATCCCATTTTAAAGGTAACTTTATAATGCCTCCCTCATTGAAGTCTTGCTCTCCATTTGCAAAAAACTCTAGTATTCGATTTTCACAATCCTCCCTAGATACCAATTTTTTATCATCAAAGAAATTTTGCAATGCAAGAAAAAATGATGATCGCTTAATGGCAAGTCCGGGCAGTATGACGAATGTCACTGTCGCCAGAAACTTCGGTCGTGGCCGTTTCTGGTCAATTACTATCTTCAAACTAGACAATAGAGATCATAATTTAGCGTTTGGTCATATGGAAGCAACTCATAATAAACAATCTCCTTCCCGTCCCACCAAATGCATAGCAGAACTTTCCTGGCCGTTAGTCCCGGCTTGGCCACCGTTTGAGGTGCTTCACCGCTACGATCACACAGGGTTATCGTATGTGATCCATTTCTCATCTCCAGTCACCATCCGTTTAAGAAATGGGCTTATTTTATTCGTTTGACCAAGGCTTCGCAGATCGAAATTCGATCCACCCTATTTTTTCTGTTAATTGGTTTGGCAACCAAACATCGAGCTTCTTTTTGAATCCAGCTTTGTGTAAATGATTTAAAACAGTTTTATAGTCGATTTTTAGCTCCTGGGCGATGTTATGACTGCAAACATGCCGGTCAACTTTGATCATTTCTTCGATTTTATCGACATCTTCGAAGACCAGGCTAAAGAATTTCTAATAATATATCGTATGAACAAAAATACTTACCAAAGTAGTTTGGGGTATAACCGCCACAGCCAATGTCAAACAAAGTATCTGCAAGAAACAAAATATTAAAACTTAGTATTGACGAAAAAAAAACAAAATAAAAAAAAATATTAAAACTTCTCAATTTATGTCATAATATTTACAACCATTTTATTAAGGTCCATATAACCGTGGTATCGGTTCCAGTTGAATGGAATTTATGATAAGATTTCAGAACTTTATTTCAGTTTATTATGGCATTTTATTGCATTTCATGATTTGTATATGTTTATTTTAATATGATTCCTGTTTAAGTGAAAAAAGAAGTATGTTCTAAAATCTGCAATAATGTACAATTTTTTACTACGATATCCATTTTTCATTTATTATATCGAAATAATAGTATTATTATAAGGAGGGTAACGCATAAGAGGACTTAAGGATTGGCATATTAAGTTGGCTTCTTTTATTGTAAAAGATTAAAGGTGAGCGGCATCCAAAAACAAGCTTTTGTTTAGATTCCAAATAATACAAATAAGGGAATCTGTTTCCATCATATGCAAAATACACCTTTCTAAAGTCAGAGTTTATAAAATCAAATACAACAAATTTTTATAAAAAAAGCTAATGGATTGTCAGGGTTTCTTCCAAAAAGAATGGATCTTGATTTACTATAGGCAAATTTAATTTAATACTTTTTTTGTTTACCCTAAAATGCGTCATTGAAGACTTGTTCGGCACAAAAAACAATTCAATACTGAAATAAAACCGCCATAAATGCAAATAAACGCACTTTTTATTTATTGCATGTTGCCTTGAATGTGTCTGCTTAATATTAACATTTTATCGAATAAGACCAAATATAAAAACAAAAAATATATATTGACCCAATAACAATGGCTTTGGTTACATTTTTTTTGTTTACTATTATTTTCTGTTTTTCTTTTTCACTGAATTGGCACACGTTAAGATAGGAAGGAATTAATTTTTTAAAACCATTCATAAAATGTCTTTTTAAACTTCGAAGCGAATATTTTTTGGAACATTTGAATATGAGGTCTAAGGGGAAACTCATACGAGGATTCAGGCCTTTCCAGTTAAGTTGGCTTTGTATGGAAAGTCAATTTATAAAGCAATATTAAAGTGAAACTTGATTTTGGACGCCGTTCTCCTTTAAACTCCTTGTACATTAGAACTTTTTTGTAGGGTTAACCTCTTCTATCACGATTTATTTAACGCACATATATATATTACAGGGTTAACATAGGAATTGACAACTGAAACCCACTGGGTTAACGAAATTTGGTTAAATGTAAACGTACTATTATTCTTTTGCAATAAAAGAAGCCAACAGAACATGCCATGCCTGAAGTCCTCTTATGTGATTACCCCTATACAGTTGATTAAAAATTCTCCAAAAATTCCATTTGATTTCTTCGAAATATTCCATTGAATTGTATATCACTTCTCACAATTTTTTTTTTTTCAAAATATTTTATTTTCTTGAGAAAAAAATCCGCTTACTTTTATTAACACCATTCTGTATTTTACGGGGGGAAAACGTGCAGCCAAACAAACCGTTCACTACTGCAATCGATTATAGTCTGAATTCAATTTTTGTTTGCGATTTCCATCTTATCTCCTGGCGACAAGTCTCAGTAATTAAATTAAGTTATCGGTAAAACAACAGTTAACTTTATTGGTCAAAGTTTATCACGCTGTTAAGCAGGCAATTTGGATCAATAGACCATGAAATGCGTATATACGTAAGTTTTCATCAAGTGGAACACAAAAAAAAATGAAAACAATCTGAGATAAAGGAATAAAGTTAATATTTTTGGGTCCAGTAATAAACAAATATTTATTTGGGAATTTTTTATTGATTTATATATAATAAAGTCTCCGCTCTGAAACTAATAGGATGCTATAATTTATGGTCTGTTCCCGTACATCATGAATCTACTACATTTTACTGCGATAACGAATTTTCCTTTATGTTATCGAGAAAATAGTAAAATCTAGTAAATTCTTGCAGTACGGGAACAGACCATTAATTTATTAGATTCAAATCATGGTACAATTATAAAAGGTAACAGCAAATCCCAGCTGATTTGATTCCAACGTAATACTAGTGTCAATATGAATTTGACAAATTATGTTTTTAAAAATCACCCAACAGGAAAATTGGGAACGCATGCAATTTTAAATTGTTCTTTATTAAATGTGCTCCTGTATTCAATTTACTCAATCTGCCTGCTTGGAAAGTTTGAGAAAGCAAATCTTTCATCAAGGAATAACTCGCTATTCCCAGCATTTTCATATGTGTTACACATATATATGGCAATGGCTCAATTAGAGGAAAGATGTGGAATAGATAGAAATATAAATTTGATAGATTTTCATTCATGTTTTTTAATTTTCATTTTGAGGATTCGGAACGCATACAATATAAAATTGTTCTTTATTAAATGTGCTCCTGTATTCAATTTACTCAATCTGCCTGCTGGGAAAGTTTGAGAAAGCAAATCTTTCATCAAGGAATAACTCGCTATTCCCAGCATTTTCATATGTGTTACACATATATATGGCAATGGCTCAATTAGAGGAAAGATGTGGAATAGATAGAAATATAAATTTGATAGATTTTCATTCATGTTTTTTAATTTTCATTTTGAGGATTCGAAAATATTTCATTTTCAAAATAAAAATAATTTGATGATAATTTGTTTGTTTGTTTACATTTTTCTGTCAAATGAGTTTTTATTTTGAAAATGAAACCCTATCAATCTGGTGAATAATATTCATTTTATAAGTTGTCAGTAAATAATTTTGTGTACAAAAATAATAAAATTGTGACGGAATAAAAAAAAAACTGAATTTACGACTCAAAATGACATTTTTGGGACAAAAATCGATTTTTTGGAATAGTGATTGAAGAGTTTGCCATACACTAGTCAATCTCACATATACAAAAAGGGGTTCATCGGCATGACGGCATGATTTATAGTGTATGGGGCCCTTTAAAAATATTAAATTTTTTCAAGACAAAATATACAGTTGAAACAAAAACTTTGTTGATAATGAATTTCCGCACACTGGGGTATTATTGAGGTGGAGACATATGCGAGAATTTTATGCATAGCATACTAAGTTGGCATTTTTTAATGTAAAATAATTAAGGAGAATGGCGACCAAACACTAATTTTAATTTTATACAATGCACCGGGCTGCTTCGCTGAAAAGGAAAAATTTGACAGATAATCGAGACAAAAACAAAGCTTTTTTGTTTTGATACATCACCTTATTATTTCATCATGGGTATACAGTCTACAGGAGATAAAATATTTTTATTGTAGAAGGTAATTTCCGCTAAATGACCTTGCACTATTTAATAGTAAATATAGTGTAGAAAATTAATCTTCCATAAGAATTCTTCGTCCAGGAGAACGAATCGACGGAGTAGGGTCCATTATGATGAGGGTTTGGAGAGTTCTTAGCCTAGCACAAAAAGCACGGTATAAACAGAAAAAAGTTAGGTGTTTTTGGAAACTTCCATCTCTTTTATGAACACATGTTAAATTTTGTTTCGATCTGTCAACTTCTTCATTTACAAACAGGTGTTAAAAAAACGCGTCCGCAATTTGTTACAATGGAAAAATTAGAAATGTGTGCTTTCATTGTAAAAAAAAATCCCGACTTCGCGGTAGCAAAAAAACAAGGTCATTTGGATTTCTCCCGATCGAACAACGAGAACTCAAATCGATCATGTTGTGATAGACGGAAGACATTCGTTCCGTGTTTTAGACGTTCGATCGATGCGAGGAGCGAATATCGATTCTGACCATTACCTTGTGGCAGGCAAGGTTCGCACCCGTCTTAATGTAGCAGCATAGATGGGATCAAATGTAACACGGAAACTCGACGTCGAAAAGCTCCAAACACAACAGGTAGCAGAAGCCTACTCCTTTCAACTTACCCACCTGCTTGACGAAAGCATCTTCGCCCTAAAAAGGCATAAAAACAAAACTCAAATCACTTCTTGTGCCGATAATTGTATAGAAGCACAATGGCAAAGAATTGCCCATACCCCAGAACCAATAAGAGATGACGGTATAGAATGTATACCACCTAGCCAAGATGAGGTCAGAATAGCAATTAATCGGCTAAAGAATAAAAAAGCAGCAGGGGCCGATGGTTTACCAGCCGATCTATTCAATGCTGGTAGTCAGGAGCATGCACCAGCTGATTAGTACAATCTGGCTAGAGGAATGCATACCCAATGATTGGAATCTCAGCATCCTGTGTCCCGTGCACAAAAAAGGAGACAAGACGATATATGCCAACTATAGAGAATTAGTCTTCTTCCCATCGCATATACAGTGTTATCCAGTGTACTGTGTGAACGACTGAAGCCAATGGTCAATGACATTATTGGACCATACCAATGCGGCATCAAAACAGGCAAATCAACCATTGACCAGATTTGCGCTCTGCGCCATATCCTGGAAAAGACCCATGAAAAACACATCGACCCATTCCACCTATTCGTTGACTATAAAGCCGCATTTAGCAGCCCCATCCGTTCAGAGGTGTTTAAACCCATGTCTGTGTTCGGCGTTCCTAGCAAATTAATACGACTATGCAGGATAACTTTAAGTGGCACAAGGTCAGCAGTTAAACTCGGAAAGGACCTATCGGAGCCCTTCAATACCGAACGAGGATTCAGATAAGGTGGCAGTTTGTCTTGTGATCTTTTTAACATCCTGCTCGAAAAGGTCATAAGAGACGCGAAGGTGAACAGAAATGGCACCCTTTGACCAAATTGAGAAGGAGTCTGCCAAAGTGGGTCTGGCAGTAAACGGCGAGAAGACCAAGTTGATGGTATCAAGGCGCAAGACTTCCAGTAGACTTGGACCAACTGTGGAACTTGAGAACTATAGCTTCGAGGTAATTAAGATTTTATATACCTTGGTACCGCAATAAATAAAACTAATGACATACGTTTTGAAATTCGGAGAAGGATAGTGTTGGCCAACCGATGCTACAGATATTTGGGAGACAAATTTCAATAAATTAAACAAAATATATTTTTATACTACATTTACATCTAACCGGATTTCGTTAACGCATATTGCGGTGCAGGATTTATAAATCCTTATAAAGTAGACTAACATAGTAAAAAGTTATAATGTAAATGCCGTTTTAAGTTGAACATTGCTACCAAGATTTAGTCATGGTTGCTACAACTTATATTTAAAAGTTTTAGAAGCAGGGATCTTCAAAATTTTTATAACTATAAACTATTTAACAATCTTTGCACAGAACACATGATATGCGTACATTTCGAAGGAAGATATTTTCATTTAAATTTTGAAAGCTGAATCATGTCAAAGTCAATTTTATGAAAACTTTTGACTGTGTGAGTCTACCTTGTATGATTATTCCATGGATTTCTAGATGAATTTACAAGAAAGCTCTATATTCCCTTAGATTTTTTTCTCGTTTTCAGTAAAATGTTTAAAATATGTTAAATGGACTGAGGTAACGACTTGTTGCAATTGTTTTTATTTATTCTGACATTATAGTCCACAAGGTAGAGGTGTATTTCTTTTTTGTATAATTATACCATGACAGGTCTCCCTCATTTATTTACATTCATTTCAAATTCAACTTTACAAACAGAAAATTCTTCCGAAATTCTTTTATTTGTTTCCCCTTTTACTTTAGTGCGCACAAGGCTTTAGTTGCTTATTACAAAATCTCAACGTGTAAATAAATATCAGAGTCCTTTTTAGTTTAGTTGCCGTTCTTCCTACCAACCAACTTAAAAAGAAAATTTAGGAATTGTGCCGAAATTATTTTATTTAAATTTCAAAATAACCGTCTACCTTCACCTGTTATCAATTCCATATGATTGTGTGAACCCTACATTGGAAATCATCTGTTCGATAACAATACTAAACGAAATGTTATCGATTACCACAATATACAAATAATCATCTACCACACAGCACTAGTGTTAATGAAGAAAAAACAACAAAGACGACTGGCAAAAAAAAAATAATATTATTACAACAAATTTCGTCAATAATAAATTACAGAGTGATAAAAATTCCACTGTAAACAAAAACAGACAGACAATACCAAGCATCCAATCTGATAATTGGATTCGAAGTAGCAACCACCGATAGCCAAAAAACAAATCACTGGCTGCTGCTATCTGAGTCCAAAGTTAGTGTAAGTTATTTTGGGAATTCACATATCCCATATACAGAGTCTGTCTACAGCTAGCTCCTCTATCTATTCATTTACTTGATCTAACAACAACCGCAACAACACACACCAAACCAAAACACACTCGAAACGCAATATGGGCCGTGTATTTTTGGAACATCTGGGGGGAATTCGTTTGTTCAATTGTGGCCAGTGTCAAACGAATCTTACCAATCGCAATCAATTGATAAGTACGCGCTTTACAGGAGCCACCGGTAAGTTTCCCATTTCCAATAAATGATTTGTTTTTTGTTTGTCCAACGCATTTTTTTGTTTCATATTTAATGTAAATTGTGTGTGTGTGTCATACCTAAAGGGTAATTGCGCATCGTATGTAATTATATTGTTGTACGTATTGAAATTGTTGTTACTTTTTTGTCTGTTTGTCTTCTCCATCTGTGTGTAATAATGTGATCTCAACAATTATCATCTTTTGGTGGCTGGCGACGACAACGATAACGATGGCGACTGCATTGCTTCCGTGAATTACGTCAATGATGATGCACTACTTGGTTGGTGTCGGTTGGTGGTATAGGACGAGCTTATCTCTTCAAACGTGTGGTCAATCTGACATTCAGCAGTGTTCAGGAGCGTGTAATGTTGACGGGTCGTCACATGGTACGCGATGTAATGTGTAAAAATTGTAATGCCAAACTGGGTTGGATGTATGAATATGCAACGGATGAGGCACAAAAGTGAGTAGACAATTTATAAATAATTTTAAATAAATTTTGTTGTTATAAAAATTGATTTTTTTGTAGAGAAGAATATAAAGTTTTTTGAGTTCATCATAAAAATGCGCATTTAAGAAGATATTCCCTTTATAGAATGGGGGTTAGTCCGTCACAAAGAATAGAAATTAGTTTTTCATATAACTTACTATCTATATGATATAGATAACAGTTTTCATTGTACCATCATATGTAAACATTCGCCCAGATTTTTTTTACATTTCAAAATTAAGTGATAAATATCAAATTTTTTGTAAAGATAAGATTAGTAACGTTGTGTTACCTTTTTTTATGACACTTTACGTATGTTTACTTTTGAAGATATGAATTTTTGTTGGTAGAAGTTTTTTTTAAGATTATTAAAATTGTGAGAGTTGTAATTAAAATTATTAGTTAAAAATTTGTTCAATTCGGTCTGGCCTAACGTTTTATTTAAAATACCTTGAATCGACGTGACCAGAATTAAACGAAATATCCAACAATAAATACTCAGGTTCAAAACACAACACAGAGTCGTAATTAAAATAATTAGTTAAAAACGTTGCTAAATTCAAAATATTTTGAATCGATATGGCCAGAGGAAAAAGGGAAATATCGAAGTACCGACTCTCAGGCTCAAAACTTGAGTTAGGGCCTTGAGGGCTATGAAAGCACATGATGGAGAACCTGTTCACCACAAAGGTTGATGAATACGAAATTACAGCAACTTTGTAAACGTCAAAATAACGAAATTCCGTAGTACCACTATATTTGGGTCTATGCCAAGCTGTGAACCGATATTGCAACTTTTCTGTATGAAGATTTACCACCAAATAACAACCAAAAACTATAATTTCGGCCAAATTTGTTGAAAAACTTTTTTGATATCCCGAAAATCCAAAAATTGGTCTTATCGATATATTAGTCCTTCATACCAAAATGGGAACCAATATTTATAATTTTTGTTATGAAGATTTGACGCCCACTGAGAATCCAAAATATCAATTTAGAGTCAATTCGATTTTAAAACGTATCTGACAATCGAAACCCAATATTGGCAACTTTTGATAGGGAGATTATCTACTCAATGAGAATTCAAAATACAAAATAAAAGACAATTTGGCTGAAAAAAGTGTCATAACTCACTCTTCATAATACCGGGGGTTATCGTTACATGGCTGCTGCCATACCTCAAAAATATCAATTGGTAAGAGGATACTAAATATATACTCACAACCGAGTACATAAAACAGGCATGCATATTCATTGGCCCAATCCCCTTCGCTATTTTTTGGGCTTTAGTTGAGGCCTCTGTAGCGACCAGAAAAACCGACAAAAATTAAATATTTGGTCCATTTCATTCCATAAATATTTACCGATCTTTACCAAAAATAGGAGTCTTCATTGGGCAAAACCCATCCTACATGCAAAATTTCGTGGTCTGTATTGTGTTTACAAATTATAATGGACAGACGGACGGACACACATGTCTAGATCGACTCAGCACGAGAGATATGATCGGTATACTTAAATGTGGGTCTAGGACCAATATATCGTGGCGTTACAAACTCTTGGGGCTGCACAAAGCTATAATACCCTGACAACATAGTTATGTTGGGTATAATTATCCTCAATACAGGGAGATAAAAAAATTCCCAGTAAAACATTTTTTTATATAATAAATTGATCCTTAATAAAGAACGATTCTTTTCTACAAAATATTCGTTTAAAAATCCACGCCAATAGGGCTGTTAGTCCTTTTAAAATGTTCGTTTGAAAACCCACGCTAATAGGGCTGTTAGTCCATTTAAAATATTTGTTTAAATATCCAGATTATAAAATGTTATTAAATTTTTACAAAATGAATATTAAACCAATTAATTTTTTGTTATTACCAGATACAAAGAAGGACGTGTCATTTTGGAATACGCTTTAATTACGGAAGTAGAAGGTTTTCCTGAAAGTTCAACACCAACACACTAACAGCGATGGATGCTTTAAATATAATCTCCTATTTTATTTAACCCCCACCACCACAATCACTACCAACTATTTTAAAACGAACCAACAAACAAAAAACTCCTCACTAATACTTAATAATATAATTAATTTAAGTGACTTATCATTAATTTAATTTTTTTTTCTTTATAAAAATTAATAATATTACATATGATTGATCTATGTTATACTAGTAGAAAAGAACTTGTAGCTGTAGTGAACAAAAAAATAAAAAAATCAACACAAAGTACTTGCTAAAATATCGAAGAAAACCGAAATAAAGAAAAATTATACGATTAGATGCTAAGTTTCGTCCTCATAATCACTACTATATAAATTATAATTTTAATTAATAATGTGAAGCCCTTAAACCAAATTAACAAATTTAAAAAAAGTATTCAATTTATTTTTTGTCATAGTTTCCTATTTTTAAGTTTTTTTTAGAAGAACTGTTTAATTGTTCATTGAAGTTAAATCAAAATTAAATTTTTTTAAATTTGAAAAAAATTATGATCTTTTTAAATAAATTTTCCTGTTTTAAAACGAAAACAATTGAAAACCGTTTTTTTCACTTGGACTAAAAATTAATTCATCCTTTTAAGAAAAATGTATTCCTGTCGTTTAGGATTAGGATTTTCATTTTTAAACATTTATTGAAATGCAAAACAAAACTGCTTTTTAACTAAACATGTTTCACTTTTTTTATAAAAAAAAAACAAATTTTAGGTAACTGAGAATGTGTTTAAGTTTCTTTATCCTCCTTCCCCGCATGACTTTGACGACTACAACACACATTTGGTGGTGGTGATGGCTGACTGACTGTTTGCCGTTAAACTTCATCATTTCTATAACTTGCCGGTTTTCTGGGCCATGGCCAAAGCATTTTCATTGGCAATCATTTGGAATTCTTGGAATCTTTGGGAAATTCGTTGATTCATTTTCAAATACTTTTCCATGCAATTCAGGGAGCATTTTTCCTATAACAAATTACAAAAACAAAATGTGAATTCTGGGTTTTGTTGTATTTTCATTACGATAAATGGATGATGACCTTACCTCACTCTCTTTGACTTCTCTGGCCGTGAAATCTCGCACACAATCTGTGAAACACATTTCAGACAATTTATTATAGGACATCAAGAAATCTGTAAACTATAAAATTTTGCCATACAATTTGTTATCATGTTTTATAAATTCAATTCATTTTTAATTCAATTTATTAAGATTTGTTTTGCCAGTCAGTACTCACCGTTTTCATTTGTTCCTTATCCAAAGAATCTAAGGAGGTGGCTGTTGCTGGATTAGTTGCCATTGTTAATTATTTACTTTTGTACTTTATTTTATTTATAATATCTAATAATTATTATTTTTAGGAAAGAAATTGAATTTATAATTCCTTTTGGCTATTTTTTTGTGTTGTAATCATTCAGTTCTCTGTTGGGGAAAAAAGCGTGCTGTCATATGAACAGCTGTTTTATGGCAATGGCGCTTAACAACACTCGTCTAATGTAATCTACTACTACAATTGTAGTGTTGTAAAACGTCATTTCTGGCTGCTTGTCAGTTTGTGAATGCAGTTTTTGGAGTTTGGGGAGCTTGGTTGGTCTTGTCCTACATAACCATATCAATATATATATATATATTTGTTTTAAGTTTTGTCGCATTTTTGAATAATATTTATACAAAAATCATGAAATTATTTACTGCTCCTATGTTTTTTAACGACATGACAACGACAAACAATGCCAAACAAACGTCAAAAAATTGTGAAGCGTTTTAAAGAGCGCGAACAACGGAAAATCTTTTCTAGAGGTTTTGTGAAATTAAAAACATTAAATATTGGAAATGTGAATCAATTATGTGTAACGAGGGACCCGCTATATCTTCTTTCCAGTATGCGAAATATTCGTGCCGGAGATACGAAAAGGTATGTGCCGATATTTTTTGTATTATTTAAATTAGTTTAGGTTATGTTGAGTTTGTATCAGTTGTTTGGTTTAAATCTTGGTAGTAATACCAAATGAGGATCAAAACATAAAAATTCTCCCTGGGATGGAATTGGATATTCCGTTGGATTTGGATTCGATTTAAGCTATGTAAAAATATCAAGATTTACAAAGTTTTAAAATGTTAACCCTAAGTGGGGGAAGGTACTAGAAGCAGTGTACCGATAAGTCCCATGATGGGACTCCAATCTCTCCCAGTAATATACAGACATGATTAAAATATTAGATTGTAAAAATTTTGTATGATATTATAAAATGCATTCCCAGCTCAATGTTGTCCATGTTGTGGGTGAGGTACCAGAAGGAGTGGGCCGATTTTCCCCATCTTCGAACATAATTTAAGTTTGAAAGAAATGTTAAAATGTGCCTAATATTGGATTTATATATGTATATATTTTCAAATGTTGACACTTTCTGGAGAAGGTACTAGAAGGAGTGAAAAAATGGGTCCTATCTTCGAGCTTGATCTTGGTTTGTTAAAGATAAAACGTTGTACACAACAATGTTGTCAGGGAATACAGTTTTATGCAGAGCCAAGAGTTTGTAACGCCGCGAAATACCTTTAAGTATACCGATCGTCATATCTCGACTAGCTGAGTCGATGTAGACATCTGTACATCGATACAGGCCTCATTTATGGACCAAATTTTGCATGTAGGACTGCTTCTGGCCAATGTTTATTTTGTTTTTGGTAAAGATCGGTTAATATTTAGGGGATGAAATGGACCAACAACTTTATTTTTGTTTGATTTTCTGGTCGCTTCAGAGGCCGCAATCATGGCTCGAACATCGGAAATTTTAACATAGAGAAGGCTATCGGGCCAAATCAAATGGACCTTGACCTTTGTGTGAAAAATTACAAAATTTGTATACAATGGCGTATATATTTACTCCTGAAGGCCATCGACACGAATTTGATAGTATATCCAAGAGGAGTGGCTGGTCTTTAAATTATATTTTTGTATGTACTCGGACTTGTGAGTTACACGTAAATATTTACAGGTGCTTACGTGTTCAGATATTATTTAGTAACACATTACCCCACTGGAGGAAGAAAATATAGCGCTGATCGCTTTGAAATGTTCCAGTTATGTTCAAGGACAACGCCTATAATTTTCGGTGATGATCAGATAATAATTTTGGGATGAAGTGGACCAAAAACTTTGTATTTTTTTCGAGTCGATTTATAGGCACAATTATAAGCCGAACGTCACAACACATCCCACGGTGAAGGGAATTAGAAGGACTGTACAGAATATTAGTAATATTCGGAAAATATGTCAGTGTAAGGAAGAGGTGCTGTTGACCTATCATCGGGCAAGACGGTGTAACTATCACGAAATATTTCGCAGGCTCAGAATAAAAATCCACAGTGAGTTAGAGTTATGTGGTAGTTGTGTAGGGTATCGTATGTTCGGCCCCGTCCGACTATACTGCTCCGCTCACTGGTTTTTTAAATATAATTTTCAGCACAAATTAGCACCCAATTATCGAAATTTAAATTAAGTTTGAAAGAAATATTATGATCTGTAAAGTTTGGATTAAATCGATTATTCTCATTGAGAGTTATCGGGCGCACCAGCCGGCCAGTCAGACAGATGGACATTTGTAAATCATCTCCAAATTATCTGCAACAGTTTTGGTTCGAAGAAACATGAGGACTAAAACCAATTTTTGTTGAGGCAAACATTTCCCGTATCATAGTGTATTATCCCCATTAGCCATAAGGAAAATATTCCGATCGGCCGATCTTTTGTTGTGCAGAATTTCCAAATTTTATAACTGTTTTCAAAATTATAAAAAAAATGCCAACGACAATTTATGGCTAGATATAAATAGCGTATACAACTAATCATCAACATATATCTACATTTATGATTTAGGTTTTCATATGTGCATACATATATCCTAAAGAATTTAATGAATGTAAAAACAACAACATAAGCATGATCATCAACATTTATTATTTGCACCATGTCAAAATGCACATTTAAATGATTAATTCTGAAACAAACAAAAACAGAAATAGTTGTAAATTGTAAAAATTCACACATTCCACTATTAAAAGAGACCTCATTAACCAAGAAATAAAAATTCTGAAAATACATAGAGATTAGGTTTATTTCTATACAACATAAGCATAATTATACAGACTTCTTTGGATGTCATTATTATTGTTGCTGTTATTATTACATGTCATATGAAATGTGTGAATGACTTTGAAACAGCATTGCAGAATGTCGTAGAGTTAAAAAAACTATTAAGAAATTTTAAATAGGTGTTTAGATAGAAGACGAGGAAGTTTTTCTAGTTGAGATGGAGGCAGTGGGTGATCTCTAGAGCAGCTGAATGAAGGGAGTTTTTATAAATGAGCTGAAGGGAGTCTTTATAGGCGAGCTGAAGGAAGTTTTTATAAACGAGCTGAAGGGAGTCTTTATAGGCGAGCTGAATGGAGTCTTTATAGGCGAGTTGAATGGAGTCTTTATAGTCGAGATGAAACGAGTCTTTATAGGCGAGCTGAAGAGAGTATAGGCGTGCTGAAGCGAGTCTTTATAGGCGAGCTGAAGCGAGTCTTTATAAACGAGCTGAAGCGAGTCTTTATAAACGAGCTGAAGCGAGTCTTTATAGACGAACTGAAGGGAGTCTTTAGAGGCGAGCTGAATGGAGTCTTTATAGACGATTTGTCTTTCAAGACGAGCTGAAGGGAGTTTTTAGTATATAGACGAGCTAAAGCGAGTCTTTACAGGCGAGCTGAAGGTAGTTTTTATAGACGAGCTGAAGGGAGTCTTTCAAGACGAGCAGAAAGGAGTCTTTATATACGATTTGTCTTTCAAAGGGAGTCTTTATTAACGAACCGAAGCGTTCATTATAGTATCTTCATAGTCGGGCTGAGGAAAGTTCTTTATAGACGAGACTTTGTAGACAAGCTGAAAGTAGTCCTTATATACGAGCTGAAGGGAGTCCCTATTGACGAAGGAAGTCTTCATAGACGAACTGAGATGAGCCTTTTTTGACGAGCTGCCTGGCTGGGGGTTTTTATGGACTGGAGGATAGGAGACTTTATAGACCGACTAAAAGTAAGGAGTCTTTATATCACGAATTCCACAAAAAGGTCAACCACACAGGTGAAAAATCAATTTGTTAAGAAAGATATGAAATTATATAGGAAATATTCTTTGCAATCCGGACAATATATTTTTAGTTGAATTTTGAAAAAAAAAACGGTAGTTTTTCTTTTTGTTGTACTATTTTCGCGTGGAGAGTAACTTGGGCATATTTTTATTAGTTTTAGAGTGTCATTTGTCGTAAGTGTGAACGCTGTTAGCTAAAACAATATCAATAATAAATATTAAATTCAAATAAAGTAATATCTTACTAAAAATTACATATATATAAACCTATACATATAACAACAGAATCTCGTGGTAAGTGCAGTTAAATAGTGTAAGAAAATAGGTAACGCGTGCGTGACAAAATGAACATATGTTTCTATACAGACTCTAATATGAGAAATTTTTTTTGATACTGCTGTAATGTGTGGATCTTGAGATGACAAACTCAAATAAAACAACGTTTGTCTTCTATCTCCATCGAAAAAAATTTTATCCGTCACGCACATGTTACATTCTTCCTCAATAAGTTGATTTAGGACCGAATTTACAGGCAGAAACGTCGTCCATAACTGCATAATGATTTACTAAAGGTCTTGGGCCACACAAAGCTATAATACCCTGACAACATATTTGTGTGGGGTATAGGGACTAGCATTTTTAAAACATTCTGTTTTGAATTTAATTTTTTTAGTACATGTGTGTGTAACAGTGCGTTACGAGTGTAACATGTGCGTGACGGTGTTCAAAGTTAAAAAAGTATATGGTAGAAATTTTTTCTCAAAAATCTTAAATGTCAATATAATCTTGAATAACCCACTATAGCTGCAAAATAAATCCGCAATTTTATCTCCAGCCAATTCGGAGAAATTTCATATCGAAACTGATATCCAATTTTTAAAGGGAAAATTTTGTAGCGCATGCGTACGCTAATTCTTTCTTAATATCCCCGAAATTTACAAACATATTCATAAAAAAGTTAGCAGGTATTGTAAAAGGCGTAAAACTATTTAATAAAAATTCCAAAAGAAATTTCGGAAACAAATTTTTCTTAACCAAAGAAACGATTATATTTCGCACGCTGTAACAGTGCGTGACATGGAATTCGTGATATACGAAGTTGGAATAACTTTGGCTCCAAAGTAATCCCCAACAAACACTCAAGTAAATCACTGATTTTTTGTTACACAGTGTAACGAAAATATGTCCCCAATCCCTATGTTAAAAAAAAACACCAAATTCCACAACACCTCAA